AGTTCAATCTCCGATTCCAGCGAAGAGCCTAAGTAAGTGTTCAGATTTTTTGGGTTCAGTGATCTTGTATCCCACTTCATCATATGACTAAAATATTGAGTTGCTTATATCGTACAACACATTTTTTTCCTATAATTTTGTCGCGTTCAATTAGTCAAAGTAATTATTTCGCGTGTCATGCTTTATAATACATTAATAAAATTCAGAGTTTAACTCATACACTAAGAGCAAGATGGGAACCTCGTTTAATGCAGAAAAAAGGCACTCATTGATCACGGTGGCAACAATGCTTAATCAGTATCTGATTTCAAACCCTAAAAGAGATCACATCTAATTTTTGTCTAGCAAAGTTCATATCAGTAGTCACAACATAGAACTTTTTCCTCTTTCCTAAAAAGATTTTGACCTTCGCTTGCTACTAAATAGATAATTTATTATATTTTACAAATCTTTGCATCACGACTGATACCGTTAAAGATTCGATTTCCAAAAATCTTTTTTACGTTAATATAGAACCTCTTAGATTCTGAAGATAAAAAGTTCCGGAACTTTCTGAAAAGTAGTAAAAAAGTGTAGGGTTGCGTGCACTTGCAGATAAACACGAGAATGCCCCAATTTTATGATGTTCTACAATTGTATGTATTACATCTTTCCCGCCAAAAATCAAATCTTTGAAAACTTTTTAAATCCTAACGAACAAGGTTAATTTTGCTATAAATCTTCCATGCGATTCGTCACGAAGCAAGCCAAATCAACATTGTTTTTTCATCTAAACATCAGCCCATAGTATAGTTTCTCCAAGTGGACCTTTAATTGTTACGTGAATCTATTTAATTCATAAAACTCGTCTAGTCCAAACTCACCCAACATGGGTTGGTCTAGAAGCATATATTAACCCCCCACAAAAAACACTTTCCTTCCAGGCTACAACCGCCAGCCATTGTACGTCATCCTCGACAACCTTACCTCACCAGACTTACCAGAGAGAATCCCGTCAGTACAAGCGTGCTACAAACTATGTTCGATAACATCGAGAGACCGGAGCTAAAACGATTCGCTGAGGTTAGCCTTTGTCATTTTTCATAAAAATTATTTTGTTTTATATTGAGCACTTGAAAATACGATTGAGCGCACAATAGTCTCAGCATTTAATGAGAACCTAAAAACTTGGTCCCTTCGCCATGCTTATAACCTTCAAGAACATTCTTTACCACACTTTTTCTAGAATAGCAATGGAAAAGAGTGGCTGATTCCTACGAGTGTTGAAGAAGATATGCGAAGAAATGACTCAGCTGATTGGAATATTGTACCTACCACAGTGACACCACCGAAAGTGGTACAAGGGTAAGCGGTTTGCCTTTTTTTCTAAACTTTATAATTGAAGGACATCATAGATCTAATTTTAAGCAATTCTTTCCATATTTTTTGATCTGTAACGTCCAAATTGTAAAAGAAAGTCCTTTCGCGCAGCATCCAATGTTTACGACCTTGGCAACGCCTTCTCGTCGTCACAATAATGGCGAATTGAAATGATCTGATTTGCTTAACTGGCCGCATGATTGCAAATTTTGTAGGACAGCGGTGAATTCCAAGTAAGGGAAATGTGAATTTAGTCAAAGGTATACCAGAAGAAAGACGTACGATGCAGCGTAAGAACAATAAGGTTTTTCCGTTTCAATCTTGGATGATCTAGTGAGTCGAGGTGTCTAATTATGGAGAAAAAGATCTAAAATCTTTATTGGACAGCAACCCTCGCAGTCATTATAATAGGCTTTTTATGA